TAAAGTTTGGTGGAGGAGGAATAATCATCTGAGGCTGTTTTTCAGAGTGTGGGCTTGACCCCTTAGTTCCAGTGAAGAGTACTGTTAATGCTACAGCATATAAAGACTTAAGATTTAAGAAACTATATGTTTCTAATTTAATGGCAACAATTTTGAGAAGGCCCTTTCCTTTTCCAGCATAACTAGGTGAAGACTAGCCACTTCACTACATATACCTACCTTGTACCTACACTCATTTATCAGGTTCATTTACCATAGTACTGTAAGTGCACTCTATAGTTCTTGTATTACATACTATAGTCCTTCTGTTTCTCTGCATAATGTGTTAGCCCCTTTTACCCTGTTCTTCAGTGGTCAGGACCACCTCAGAGCAGGTATTATTTGGGTGGTGTCTCCTTCTCAGCACTGCAGTGACACTGACATGGTGGTGGAAGTGTTAGTGTGTGTTGCGCTTGCACGAGTGAATCAGACACAGCAGTGCTGCTGGAGTATTTAAACACTGTAAACTCAGTAAGAGGTAAGGGGTACTCTGTCGTGTATCTGCACTATATGTAGTCCTGTGTAATGTGTTGCTTTTGTTGTTGCACCAGGGGGCCTGATGAGCGACATTTCATTCCAATGTATACAAGTTATATTGAGGAATGACAATAAAGATCACTTGACTTGATTCTGTTGTCTGGTTACGGTGATACGTGAATTTAAATGGATCCAGTGTGGAAGGAAGACAGCTCTGTTTCATTACCAGTCGTTCAAAGCACTTCAAGGTGATCAGAGTGAGTGCTGCAGATCGGCAGTCACTGAGGCAAAATTCAGACAATTTCTTTTGCACAAGGATGATGGTAGTTGTTTTGAAGCACTCTGGGAAAATTGCCTGGCTCAGAAAAATGTTAGTTAGGACATCTGCAAGCTGGTCAGCACAACCCCTGAGCACCCAGCCAGGTATGTTGCTGGTGACAAGTAGCTTAACCATTAGGCTAAACAGCTAATTAAATAAGACATGCGCACAGCTCAAAAACTACTCCATCCACTGAACTACTAGCCTGTAAATAAATGTTTCAAACATTAAGATTGTTCTCATTCCCAGTATTGGTTTTAAGTGTGTTAGGTAGTCACAACAAACATATTTAATAGCTTAACAAGCACAAACAAACAAACAAACAAATAAATGAATGCATTCATTCATGTGTGGCTATATAAAAAATAAATATGTATTTATTTGTTTTTGTAGCTTTTAGAGAAAGAGCTGTTGGGGTAATGCTGACTGTTTCCTTTTCTGATTTGCTGTAGCATTTCTGAATTTGTTGTTGCGTTTCTGAATTCGGACATACAGAGTAGAATAAAGCCAAGTTTCTAAGTTCGCTGTTGTTGGAAGTCATCAAGGCAAGATACAGACATTTTCTTTGGCACAGGGATGATGGTGGTTATTTTGAAGCATTCTATGACAATTGCCTGGCTCAGAAAAATGTCGAAAAGACTGCAAGCTGGTCAGCACATTCCCAGAGCACCTGACCAGGTATGTTTTTGGACAGCAGCCTTCCGAGGGTCAACTCTGGAAAGAGTAGTCCACAATTTTTATTTGCTGTTGTGTTTTTTAATCTGATGTAGCATTTCCTGAATTTGCTGTTGTTTTTTTTTGTTGTTGTTTTTTTGGGGGTTTTTTTTGTAATGTTGTCTGATTTACTGCTGCATTTTGGTTTGCTTCTGTACTTGGGGGCTTCCATGTTTAATACTGAGTTATAATCCAATTTGGATTGTTATAATCTGATTTGGATCCAATTTTGATATGATAATTATGGCTATCAATAACTTGCAGTAAAAGCACTTCATTGTTGACGTGCAAAGTGGTAAACACTCTGATATATGTCAAAGATTGGGTTCTATCCACTGAAATATGCCTTGGTCTTCTGTAATATTTTCTCTTTGAGGAATGTTAACAAACTCTGAATAAATAGACCCTGCTTTCTGAGTGCGTCACTTGGTTTTTTGGGCACCCCTAGTGGCTACGCCCCTGAAAGCCGTCCCCTTTTTCCCCCTTATGGCCATATTGGTACCAGCATCACTAATAATAGCCAAAGATCATACTTCTAAATTGGAAAGATAGAACTAAATGATCTTCACTCCACTGGCCTAACAGGACATTTAACATTAGAAAAATCCCCAGCAGCCTTTTAGAAACAAGAGAAAATCATATACACACAACCCCCAAATATAAGAGCTAATTTTGATTAACAACAAAACTTCAGAACATGGGAATCACAAGATCATTAGTGTGCAACCTGCTGTTACATGTCATCCAGTCTTGTCGACCCTACATTGTGATAATTCATTGAGTATTGTCTTGTGTAATTGTGGATGGAAAAAATGATAACATTCTGGTATATTAATAATTTGATACATAATAAATAAATACACACATCCTCTCAGATCTTTCAGTAGGAATCATATGGAAAATGAAAGCAAGAATGTGTATGTTTGCAGTTTGCATACATTGAAATTACTACCATTCAAACAGCAGTATGGTGCACACGGCAAAAAAAAACAATCACGATGGTAAGTATGTATTGAGGTTTCCACTATAAAAAAGTGGTGATGAGTGATATCAAATGAATAAAGGATCCATGGGAATTAAGCAAGGTTCACTTGGCTCTTGCAGAACCAATGTGCAATTATATGCAGGCTTGAGAGCTAAGAATAGTCTGCAGCTGGTAGCATAATTTTAGATGCTTGGACAGCCCCTACAGCTCAAGGCAAGATTACAAGCCCTCAGGCAGGATCATCTTCCATTGGTTGCTAAGTGATTAAAACTGACAGTGACTGTAGAATCTGTTCTTATATCTTTGTTGCTTTTTAAAACTATTGCAATATTGTGTAATATTTCTGCAATTAGCAGTGGCATGTTGAAATATTTCATAGACTGATGTTCATAGGAGTCTTAGCCACTGAATTTATTAATGAAAATAGCTAAATTTCAAAACCTCTTATAAATTGTCAACTTTTAGCTTCAAAGCCAGTGTAAACATTTTCATTTGGTTAATGGATGGACACTAAATTGCAGTAACTTTTTATAGACTGCGTGCTTTTCAGTGTTGAACAGCTACAACCTGAAATCTTTGGTGTGTGCCTCTGACTTTTACTGTGCAATAAATTTACAACTGTACAAACGTATAACAGACCCAGTTCACACTTCAGTATTCAGCACAGCTTAAGTCATCATAGCAGGGAAAACATCACAGCAGTGGCAGCGTTTGCAAATGAGATCATAGACCAAGTTCTCCTTTGTAATGTCTCTGATGTAGAGGACTTGCTTATTTTTGTATTCTCATTATTTACTTTTTATGTATTTTTATAATAATTTATATAGTACATTGAACACTGACCTGGTCATTTACAACATTGGATACTGTACGAACAACATTAACACTAATAAGTGAAATGTACAAAAGATAAGTCACGAAATACAACCATACGCCAACGACTGTTTACTCCCAACCTGAATAACATGGACTATATTCTAGTAACATTAGACATTGTTGGGTAACCTGTGATGAAATCCTTAACTTACCTTTGTCATTCTAAAGGTTTGCATAGTTTGCTCCTCTCTAAAAATGAATTAAGTACATTCCTTACTGAGGTACTAAGGATGTTGAAATAAGCAAGAGACATTGTTTACATACTCATTCATAAATGTCACAGCTGCTGTAATGTTTTACCTACCATGACAACTTCTGTTGCGTCAACTGAAGTGTGAAAAGGGTCTACTTTGGACAAACCAGGGACATAAGAGACGAATCCACTGGGGGGAAAAAAAAGCTTGTGGGCTTAAAAGGGAATCTACATAATTCAATGAATGAGATGTAACAAAGTCATTCCGAGTGGTTTGATGTGAAATGGTGCATGGTAGAGAAACCTACTGACTTGGATTTCTTTACAGTGGTGGTGATAGGAACCAAGGGTCTCAATGTCTACAACCATTTATTATATTATATTAAAATACAGCCATTTATGTGCTATCCAAAACAACCAGTGAATTTACATATGTCACAAGTTTTTGTATAATGTTTTCTTTGAGTGCTATCTTGTGTTACGATGCTGCGAGATAAAACCTTTTCTCAAAACTATTTTAGGCATCAGGCAGTGTATTCATATGCATTTCAATGTAATAACTTTATGTGAGGTCACTTTCAGACACATTTAAAGGCTTTAGACTCTATCAATTTCTCTAGAATTGAGCCTTTCACATCAAACCACTCAGGATGAGTTTGTTTAATCTTCGTTAAATCTTACTGATTGAATTATGCAGAAATTTGACACTTTATAAATTCACGTTTATGAAGCTTCTACAGGCTTCATATATGTAAGTGGTGTAATTTTACAAGTAGACTCGAGTAGAGTGTCAGGACATATAGCTTTCAGTGAAATTGAGACATTACAACTGAAAGTATGCTGGCAAATACAGCATGTCCTCATGAAGATCTGTCTTTGTTCAGATGTCATGGTTTGGTGTTGGTTACAAGAAACAAAAACTCACTGTCATCTTGTCCCCACTAAACCACACTTTTTCACCACAATTTTCAGCTGTTTCTGTCAATCACGTTGGTACTACTTATGAGTTTGGACAGAATGGATATTGTACATTGTGGATTCGGCTATGCATATGAACAAAAAACAAGAACTATAATGGGAAAACCACCAGTGTAGTGGTAGAGATTGGCAGGGATTTACATGATATCAGCTACACACACATCTTAAAATGTCAGAGTGTCACCTTACTGGGGATATTTATAACTGAATTCATGTGGTGTTGGTTTAGAGCACCTCCCTCACCTCTCTCCACTCACCCTCTTTCTCAGTTGCTGTCTGTCTCTCTTCGGAGTTTAGAGTGGGTTGCTAACTTGCCTTTGAGCCCCTGAGCGCTCTGCAGGGTGGGGGTTTCATGATCTTCAGTCCAGTAGCCCAGTGAATCTCCAGTTGGAGGGACAACTAAGTGGCAAAGCTGATGACCCAGTATCTTATCTTAACCCTTAAACCATTATTCTTCCATCTACCCTAAAGTCACTTAATTCTGGTCTCTACTTACTAAGGTAGGACCTCAGGCCTGACTGGTGTAAATTAGCAAGGACAGGGATGGCAGACAAACTGGGACAACCTGTTGGTGCTGCAGATGAGCCCAATGCTTTGAGCATCTTCTCTCTGCTTGAGCGTGTGTCCGGGATCATTGACAATGTGCAGGCGTGCCAGCAGCGCATGGAAGAGAGGCAGCTGGAGCTGGAGAACAATGTCAAGAGCATCCAGGCAGATGTAGTAAAGCTGACCAAGGAGCACAACACCACCAGCAGTACTGTGGAAAAGCTGCTGGAGAAAACACGGAAAGTCAGCTGTCACATCAAGGATGTGCGCGTCCGCGTGGAAAAGCAAAATCTACGTGTCAAAAAAGTGGAAGAGACGCAGGGTGAGCTGCTAACCAAGAACAAGTTTCGTGTGGTTATCTACCAGGTAAGCATGGAGACGTGCATTTCTGCCTAGGGACTATTACGACATGATGCATGGACAGAACGACTGTTTGTTTGACATGTCTTTCTTAATCAAGTTGCACCGAAATAAACACTTATGGTTCATTTTTAAAGATATTAGATTTTACTCATTTCAAAGTGTCTGTTGCTTCTGTATGTTGCAACCATGTTCTATACATGCTGTGTACACACCAATTTGAACTTCAGGCCTGCTGTATCTCTTCATTCCTATGGTTAGTTTGGTTACTGAGGACTGCTTTTTAACTATTAGTGCTTTACTATTTACTATTTACTATTTACTACATTGTAATTGCATTATACTGAAAATAAGTACTCAAAGAGGTGTGACAGAGGAATCTTTAATGCCAGTTGGTGTCAGTCCAGGCACCTGATTATTCAGAACCTAACTTTGGCTATGCATCAGAATTGTCCAGCGTATAAAAGCAGTATGCCAAAAACAGTGGCACAGCAAGAATCAATGCAAGTCCCCACAAAGAACCGGGTCACCTTTGGCTTTGGAAGGCCATCGCATTAACGTTAACTTGCGAATACACGGCCAGCAATTAGGTGGCTTACTTATTTATAGACCATTTGTAGAGAGAAATGAACAGATTGTTGAGAAGAAAGTGTGGTTTGTTCAAGTGTAGTTTATCATGTCACACATATTCTTGTACTACCATTTTGCTACATTCACCACAATAATAATGGTAATGTTTGGCTTATAACTGAGAAACTAAATTTTGTTATCTTATTAATGATATTCACAGCTGTTTCTATATTAGCTGTGCTCTTCGACATTGCTTATTGCGTGCAACAGCTGACATACTTGCACAGGGTTATTCTGAGCGCTTACTCTGTGAAGACACATGTCCTAATATAGTACTATTGAGTTTGACACAGCGTGGGTTACAAAAAGTCCCCAGAAGAACAGGACATAGTCATTCTGGATGGAATCTGCATTGAAGCCATTTGTGATAACTGATCAAGATTGAGCTGCAGCAGTAATTTGAAGAGCTCGCAGCTAGACAAATGCTTTTATAGTGAATCCCAGTCAGACCCATCTCAAACATCCAGCACTACATAGATTGCTGTCAGACGTTTAGCTGTCCCTGTCAGCAGAAAGGAGTAATGAACAAGACCCCCTACCAGTTGCTATAAACATCAGGGAGGTCATTAAGAACATTTGGAAAATGATAAACTGTACAAAATAGTATTTATTTATTTGGATATACCAGACTGTACAAGAAAATGAAAGCGATCATATATACCCACACCTACAGTAGAGGGATGTTCTTCCTCTCAGCTCCTTTTGAAAATCTTGTCGAAAGTCTTGCTCCACAGTTTAACTGACACCATCATAGAAGACCTGTTACTCTAAATGCTGGTACACACTAGCCAGACGCTATTTTTGAGCTGTATCATAGTGTTAGGTCATATACAGCCTGTCCTGTTCTGAAGTAGAGCCATAAATCAGACCACTTCATGCAGGCAGGAAGCAGAGCTTTATTAAAGATTACAAGATCCCTTCAAACTGGGAGTAGCTTGGTAGCAGGGTATCCCAGTGAGAAGGGCAATCAAATTCAGCATGGATACTCATGTATGGTACAGTTCACTTGGTAGATGGAAATGCCAAAAAATGAAGGATCAAGGATTTGGAACTGTACTATACCACACTGTTCGGTGGAAAAACACTATAAGTGTTTCACAGCTACTGCTTTTTCCAGCCTGCTCCAGCCATTCATATACACTTCTTGTTACCATGTAGGGACAGCTGCTGACAAGCAATTGATGTCACTTTTGCACTTTCAGTAGCTTGTCTTTATCACTCATGCACTCGCAGGGCTTGTGCACTTAGCAAAAGTGAGAACAGGCCTTATGTATTTTTTATGGGGTGTGTTTGAGGTGCTGGATCATAAATGAGGAACTAAATTCTGTCCTGTTAAAGATACTCACAGCTGTTTCTGTACTAATATAGTGTTAGCATAATAAGAGATCACAGTAAGAACCATAGGCAAAACACTAACATAGGACATGGTGAAACAGGGTGTTCTTAATTGTTGATTGAGCTTTAGCATAATTAAAATGGAAAAACTACACTGCAGCATCTCTAACTAAGAGGGTCTAGATAGAGGGAGACCCTGGACAGAAGGAAACCCTCAGAGTAGGCCTTGTTAGGGGTCCAAGCACTGAAGATGTTGGAATCCATGAAGTGCTTAATTTTTTATTATTATTCTTTGCAGAAACTGTCCAACTACACTGAGAAGTGAGGCCTCATGGTGGTACTATAGAGCAACGTTTTATGTAATGGCCAATACGTACTGAACCAAGAGACACCCTGCCAATTTTTTCCAGATCCCTTGGTTTAGTATAAAAATTGCCATTGACACCTTTAGGCTCTGTGGCGTCCCCTTCCTTTTGAGAAAATTAGTTTATGTAAAACCTATTTTTTTTTAACTAATCCTTGAATTCATTCTTTCTGGAGTGGAGCTTAGTTAACACCAGGCAGTGTGGTACAGCACAGTACAAGCACAACTCTGAACCCAGAAATATTCAGCTTAAGAAGAGCCATTTTGTTCTTTCAACAAAAATGAATCCACCTTGGGAGCCACAACATTTTGTGTCCATTTATTTAAGTAACGTTTTACCATCTTGGCTGTAAATATGTCTCACTCTGTGCTAATGTCCTAGTGTAGACTAAAACATCGCTGTTGTCGGAAGAAAACCTTGCATCTCCGAAATGATAACTTTACAGGAGAAGGAAAAAACCTACGTTACTTTTAATGTAAGTCAGTGGAACCAGAATTTTGTCCAAGTCATTTGGGCCGTTTCTTTTGGTCCATTCTTTATGAAATGTACACACAATGTAAAGAGTAAACAGGCATTTTCAAATTATGTCAAAAACTAAAACACCGATAAAAACGGAGATACAAGGCTTTCTCTTTCGACAGCAGCGAAATATAATAGAAACGAAAACGCAGACTTACTTTGCTCTGCTTAAAGCTTTAGCTCGGTTATAGCTGTTTCTGTCACATCTCTGACCGTAAACTTTCTTCAAAAGTAGAATAGTTTATTGTAATATGTCTCTCAACGTTCATTTTCTACGAGGCTGAAGTCAGCTTCTCATTCGCCCGATTCTCGTTCACATTTTTCTGTTCCACCTTAAATGGTGCAGCAGTTGTGACTAGCTACCACAAACATTAGCAAATGAGACAAAATACTGACCTGTCGGTTCTGTGAAACAGCAAAAATAAGTCAATGTTACTCAGCGGAAATAGATAAACCTCCTCATATCATGCTTTTCAACCCTCCATGAAGTTGAACTGTCCAGAGAAAATGTCCTCAGAAAAATGTTACCAGCATTAAAATAATAATTAGGATATTCTGAGAGCCTATATCAGTTTATCAGGGGGTCAGCAGTGATATTAAGCTGAGTCTGTACTGAATTAGCCTGACTACAGGTGAGTTTGTAGATCTTTTCAAATCAAGCTAAAATGAAAGATCTATCGTGTTGCAGTGAGGATTAGATGAAGAACAGAGAACTGCAGGGAAAGCTGCTTATTCTGTTCTGACTTCTTTTCATCTGGCCTCAGTCTGTGCTTAAGGAGGCTGCCAGTCTAATGACATGAATTCAGTGCACAGTAGCTTCAGCTCACATGTAGCAATATTCATATTTCAACTCTTTAACGACCTCATACTTCAGAGGATCCAGTGATATACGAGTGAAGAATGTTCACAGGACAAAACGTATCGGGTTCTGAACATTTTATTTAACACTGAGTGCGATAGAGGCAATTTTTCAAAACCCATATTCATTCTGGCCATAGAGAAATCGTGCTTAGGGCTTATGGGTATTATGTTATATGCAAGTGCCTTTAAGGGCAAATTTAAGGAGATAGAAAATGCACTTAAATCCACTTTACATCAGGTATATTAAATGAATTAAACAGATCTTTGCTGATGCTTAGGAATGTTTAATAGGTGGTAGTGATGCAATAATAATAAGTCATTAGTTCTTACTTAGAGAAAGTGAGAGGTGTCATCAACAGTAAAACAGAACAGCTGAACCAACAAAACAGAATGAAATTTGAAAAATGAAAACCTCTTTGAGACCACCGGTGGTTCCAAAACGCACTTCGTCATATTCTTCATAACTTTCATACTTCATAAGCTACATTCAAAAAGTGGGTGTCATATGAGAGCTGTAACTGTCTTCTTTCCAGTCAAATAGATGGGTAATGTATTTTTAAACCCTTAGAAAAGCTGAACTCACATGTCTACTGAAAGTCGACCCATTTTTCCACAAATCTGGGCTATAAACTATAAAGAGATGGTATTTCTTCAGTGATCTGCTCTGTAAAAATTATTTTTATAAAATAATACAAAGAGCGTCTAAGATGTTTTGCTTTCAGCAGTAAATTGTAAGCATATAGCAATATGTGTATGATCATAAAACACATTTTCTGTTAATATGAGGGGAGCTTTTCCATTGTAAAAATGTTAAAATGTACATTTATTTCATGCATTTACTGAATAATTTGCATTACGATTTGGTCATGTAAATTCAAAATAAAAAAAACAAACAAAAAAAGGAGAATAAGAGGCTAAAAAAGAAAACTAGAAACTAAAGGTTCATGATTGAAAAGGAACTCAGTATTAGAAGAGTATTGGAGGAAATTCTCCAAAACATACAAACCCAACACAATTCTGCCTGAGAACATGTAACTATGTAAATGCAACTAGTTACTTACTTGGTACTACTTACGTATTATTACAGACAGTTAAGCTATTGTTTAACATTGCTTATTGAATCTTAAATGATCTATGCATATAACAAAATGGTAACTTAACAGGAGAAGGAAAAAACACACTTTACCTTTAATGTAAGTCAGTGGAACCAGACTTTTTACCAAGCCATTTGAGCCGTTTCTTTTGGTCCATTGTTCATGAAATTTACACAATTAAGGACAACGGGCATTTTCAGATTATGTCACAAACTAAAAAAACTACAAAAATGGAGATACTAGGTTTTCTTCCAACAGCAGCGATATGAAGTGAATAAATATGAATTACACGCACATACACACACACACACATACACACACACGCACACACACACACACACACATACACACACACGCACACACACACACACACTTTCTAAGCCGCTTATCCTTCTGGGTCATGGGGGTAGCTGGAGCCTATCCCAGCGGTCATTGAGCCGAAGGCAGGAAACACCCTGGACTGGTCGCCAGTCCATCGCAGAGCTTAATATGAATTAATACAATTTAATATTACCTAACTATTAATAACATAATATCTCATGATTTTTATGTTAACAAATGCATTTAACATGTAATTTAACAAATGCATTATTTAATATTGTAAAATGCTACCATAATTGCATTCTATCTTATGCTGATTAAAAGAGAGAAGGTAATCATTTCAGTAAAGGTTTCAAAACTTTGCAAATGTATGTAAGCTTCCAAATCACACATGAAATCGGACAGTTCATAATAAACCTACAGACAGGCGACAAATTAAAGAAAAAGAAAGAACAAAGTGTCTTAGTGAGGTTTTGTGCCACCATAAGCCACCAGAACAGCTTCAGTGATTCCCTCAGTTGGTGCTTTGATGATGGCGGTGGAGAGTGCTTTCTAACACAATGGTACAAAGTCTCCCATAGGTCTTCAATTAGATTGAGATCTGGAAACCACAAAGGCCACAGCATTTAATTTACATCATTTTCATACTCATTAAACCATTCAGTGACCCCTCATGCCCTGCGGGGGCACTGTCATCCTGGAACAGACAAGTCCCATTAGAATAGAAATGATTCATCATAGGATAAAGGTGAGCGGTCATGATAACGTGGTATTAATTTGCAATGACCATACCCTCTAAGATCCCCCGGACCCACTTGCTGTAGGGGTTAAGCAAACCATTCTATAGGTGTATAGCAGACCTATTATACCATTCTATTGATGTAATTCCACCTATCAAGAATATAGTGAAAGATGACTCGACTGTCCATATCACTTCTTCCACATCTCTGTTTTGCACCAGTGAACTATCAAATGCGCTGCGACCGTACTGTATTATCCCTCTATATGTTGATGTTGATGGGCTGTACTTGCTGACACAATCTGATCACATCCTGCATTAATATTCTTAGCCACCTAAAGAACAGTTGCTATGTTGGTATTGCTCTCCTTATTTAGCACACAGAAGCTTCATCTTGTGACAGTAAATCTGAACGACTGTAAATCTATATGAATTTAGTGAAATAAATCCTTAATCCTGAAACAGATTTATCTTTGTCTGTCAACATTATCTCACCTTCGATGGAAGTGAATTTGGACTAATATGTTAGCAGTGGAAAATGATTTTGGCTGCCCTTTCTGTAAACCAGCTAAACTGACTGCAAAAAGCCATCGCTAAACAAAGATTTGAAAAGGTTGAAGTCGTTAACTTCTTTAGAACTGCTAAGTAAGCAAAAATCCCGTCAGACTCTTTTACACAGAACTTTCAAGACAGCCACTGTAAAAAGGGGAGCTATAAATGTGTAACTGTTTGTACAAATTGAAATCTGGAATATTTTGATTAAAAACTAACAGGCTTTAAATTATGATAAATTATGTCATGAAAATATTATTTTTGCTTTTAAGGAGTGCATTGAAAGCGAGAACTTGTGCGCGAACACCAACAAGAATTCAGAGCCTGTAAACTGCTGTTCAGGCCAGCTCTACAGATGACACTTCAGTCACTGCTCCTATTGAAAATCTAGCCAGTTGGCCAATCTTTGGAGTTCGATCTTGTGCCATCCATGCTCCAATAATGAACCGATCTTCCACTCGCCATCCTGACCCAAAATCAAGATCATCTTGCCCTGTTCATACAAGCCAAAGGACATGAATGTAAATTGCTTGATTGTATCATGTACCAATTTGAATTTGTTATGTTTAATTTCATTTATTTATTTTTTTCCTTCCCTTTGCTACCTGTCTGTATGTTCACAACATTAGCATATTTCATATGATGATTTAGGTTAAACCAGTATTATTATAATTATATATTATATAATACATTATAAAGCAGTATGTATTATAAATTGGGAACTAGATGTCAAAATGGTGCTTGTCCCCCTATTATCTTTTACATTATCTTACAATTAAGTCCTGTAGGCTCAGTGATTTTCTGAAGTTCAGAAAGTTCTCTGTTCAAATCCCAGCTTAACGTAGTTGCAAAAGAAGGGCACAGATGCAATATGGTTCTTAAACTGATTCTCATGAAAATTAGTAGTAGCCTCAATAAGCCTCTATAGTTTGGTGCCAATTAGCCAATAGGGGTCACTACAACATGCACAGAACTGTTCCTCAGCCACTGTTTTCTGTCTCAGCCGAAATTTTGTACACTGTCATTTGAATGGGGAGAGTCCTCTAAACCGAAAAAATGGTAGTCAAGCTAATGTTTAATGAATGTATTTGAATAATACACTTGTCCAGTAGAGCATTACAAGTTATCCCATTCATATTTCGATCAATGAGATGTCTCCTCCTTCTCCTGTTATACTGTCTCAGACAGAACGTTCTGGCTCTGCCTCAGCTCCACTCTAGATGCTTACATTTTAGAGGTTTACTTCTGAAAAGCCTTACAAATAGATTACTATAATGGAGGTGGCATCTACTTGTAGTTTTGGAGAACTTCTCCAAAATTCCAGGACACACCCAATTGTCCAACTGTGATCCTTGCTGCTCACTGTGTTTGGGGACAAAGTATCCTTGTGTCCTATTCCAGTTAGGGTCATCAGAATTCCAGATGTTTGAAACTTCTTGATAAGTGCTTCTCTAACCAGTCATGCAGGGTTTGCAGTTGTCTGTTGGCCCATTCTGTTCTCATTTCATCGACTAGAGACACTTAAAAAAGCAACAATGAAATTACAGAATGAATTCAAAGTGTACTAGTCCAACATTGTTTACATTGGTGGAAAAATAATTGCTTGCTAGTTGAGTATTAAGTTGTTTAAGTTGTCACTGTGTCATATTTTCGTCTCACAATAACACAGTCCCAGAGTCTGTATACAGTAAGTTTATATGCAGTAAATCCTTTCTCTTTTCACAGGGTGAGCAGGAGCTGCCAGCTGTAGTGGCTCCCAAGGGCTCCCCAAAAGAAGAAGCAGGTGCCAGCGCTTCCGCGGATCCGGATGCCCCGCTTCCCGACTCTGATGAGGAATACATGGTTGTTGAGGAGGGTGACTCCACGGCTGCTAAGCTGAAGAAGACCGGCCTAAAGCGCATTGAGAGTCTGAAGAACACCTTTTCTCGTGAGAACATGACCAAGACCAAGGAGAACCTCGGCAACAAAGTAAACAAGCTCGGTGAGCGCATAGTGACGGCCGAGCGGCGTGAGAAGATCCGTCAGTCGGGTGAACGTCTCAAAGAAACCATCACGAAGAATGTTCCAGCAAAGCTCAACCTGAAGAAGGAGAGAACTGTGGCTGAGGGTCAGGAAGGGGCCGAAGGGACCACAGAGAGCGCAGCGCCCATTCCACCGCCTAAAGGCCGTAAATCCAGTCCAGATGTGGCTTACACAGAGCCCACACTGAAGCAAGAAGGAGCAGGAGAGGGCAAAGCAGAGGAAACGGAAGTGCCAATGTTTGATATGAAGCAGCTCTCCTAAGCAGAAAGTCAGGCAAAGCAAAGGAGTGCTTTTGGGTTTGGGTCACTTTTTCGGGCAATGCTCACTTCCTGGTGAGAAAGTTAAATATGGAATTGGAGCACAAGATGGTAAAGAAATGGGCCAGCTAGAGATCCAATGAAAAGAAGTATGGAGCACCCACGCAAAAAAGACTTGATGGATGGTTTTGACATGTAACAGATGGAATATGGAAAGTCCTCTAGCACATCAACAGAATTTAATCGATTTTTTTTTTTATTTTTCCTTTTTTTTACATTTATTATGGACTCAGAAACTTGGATGGAAAACGTATGTTGAGTAACAGGAAATAAGTGCACTGTGGGCGTTTTCACGAATGTATAATTTTTAACATATTCTAGTGCTGACTTGCGTTCATCTTTTTTCGCATGTAACATCATGTATGTGTTTTCTGTGACACTGCAGTACAGTTTTCAGTTAGCTTTGCTGTCTGACCTTGATAATCTCGCGTAATAAACCTACACACAAACTAAATCAGCTGGTCTCTGAGAAGTCTTTTGAAAAAAAACAAGGAATAACTAGTCTTTTTAAACAACCGATAGCTGGATATAAGTTGTAGTGTTGTGGGTTTTTTTGTTTGTGTGTGTGCATTTAAAGTTGCCAAGTACATTGGAATTGGCAATGTACTGATCAACAGCACCTCACTGCATGAGTGATTACACATAAAGAAATATTTTATTATCCACAATTCTGTTCAATAGACAGCAAAGACGAAACACAAGGATTGCACACACTGTACTGCATGTAATTTATGAAATATATGTATACCAACTTTGTATTTATGTTCTATTTAAGCATTTAGACTAGCTGTATTATAGGTGTTCACTAAATGCATGCTTTGAGATTTTAGTTTAGAAATATTTACATGGTGCTGCTAATTGTTCAACTCACCCTAGGTGGCTGTGCACTAAGGACGTTGTATATTTTATATAGTGTCAACTGTAATCTTTATGTCATTTTACAAATCAGTCATTATATGTATCCTGTGCATTTTCAATACTGGAAAACATTAAAATAAAGAACAGTCCTGGTAGCCTGGTAACTTTGTAATGACATTTTTTATGAGTTTTTATAAGTAACTCCAAAAGTTTTTCCAAAAAGCCGATACAAAGTGTATATTGTCAAATGTTTTATATTATAGAAACTGCATAATATATTAAAATGTTCATATCCCCAACAAATAATAATAATAATAAGAAGAAGAATCATCTTTATTTGTATGCCAGTGGCAGCTCAAAGTGCTTTACAGACAGGTTATAACGCTTAACAGTAGTACAAGAAATTACGAGTACTGATTTAAAATCATAAAAATACTTAGTGCTGACTAATGGATGAATGTAGCCTGCTGGAAAATAGGATTAAGAGTGGAAAATAACTAAGATTGAGTAAGATATCCAGATATCCCCATCTAAATGATTTGAGTACAGATTGAAGTTTGGTGTATTCACAATAACATTCAGCATTAGCTGTTTTCTTACTTCTGTTACCTTAAGTACAAGTATCAACTACACAATTGGATTAATTTAGCAACAGAAATTAACTGAAGAGGACGGCAACATTTTACCTTAGAAGACATCAAAACATATGTATAGCTTACACCTAAATAAAAACTATTTGGCCATCTTCATATTATTTACAGTCGCAGAGTAAAGCCAACCCCCTCAGTGTCCAGTGGTCAGGATTCTGGACGGTCCGAAGGAAGAGGGTGAAGATGAAGGTCAGGTCAGTGCGCCTGGGCTTTCTGTACACTGGACAGGGGTACAGGTTGACACCCTGAGGTCGCTTGGTATCTGTTGTATTGGCACTGCTCACAGCATACACATGCACCACTGGCAGAGGGGTGAAGAGAACCTGCCGTCCAGAGCAAACAGGGAGGTTAAAAATGCAAGGAAAAAATTCCACTAAAGCCTAAAAACATCAGTGGATAATGCAAATTACTGTGTCGCACCTTAGGAGGAGATTCTACTAGCTTGATGTTTCGCTTGTCCCACCCAGCGCCATCTAAAAAGAGTCCATAAATGTAGACCCCTCCTACGTCTCCTGACGGAGGTCCTGTCACATCCTCCTTCATCATTCGTGTGACATCATTAAGAAGCATAACAGTGTCCAGGGTCCAACCTTTGGCCAGATTCATGCGGGTGGTTTCCTGGCGCATAGCTGTCAAGAAACCCTAACAAGAAATATGGAATTATTCAGTGATACAACTTTAAAATTGTGAATTAGGAAAATCACTTGTTATTGTGGGTTAAAAAGGGGTTAAAATGACAGAACAAGAAACAAAACTGCACTTTAATTAATTCTGAAACTTCAATAGGGTGTGTGGAAATCATCTAGCCCAATAAATATGACAGCTCCTATATCTTTCTTTGTGAGTCATCTTCCTATTAAATATGAGCAAATATCCAGTAAATACAATGAACAATTTATAATTTACTATTTATAATTTCTGTCACCATCTCATCAAAACTGTACTACCCAATGGAGCACACACCTACCTGGGGATTGAAAAATCCCGTCAGCCAAAACTGATTGGGTCGGCCATGAAAAGTCCAGCTGTGGAATTGCTGGTTTCGTTCTAGAAGCTCAGTGAACCAGAAACCAAGAGTTGCCGATTCCCATGAACTTCTCTGCCATAGTTTTGGAACACGAGCATCGTACATGCTGTCCAGAGCATCTCGAAGATCCTCTGACATGATTATAGTCCCTTTTGATAAACAGGAAAACTTGTTTCAAACAAATAATCCTCAAATCCCAGATCTAGGTGACAGAGCTATGTACAATACCAAGAGTTTTCTGAATATAATTAGGTGGCTGATACTCACCATCAATAGCCAGTTTAAGGTCTGTGAGAGTGCTGCGCACACAGCCAATGATTTTCTGCATTCTGTCAATCTCCTGGCGCAAAAATATGGTCATTGGCTGGAAGAGTCCCATTTTCTGCAAATGGGTCCTCACCTACATGACAGCAGTGCACAATGTAAAATCATCCATGTTTACATGCACACTGGCTACTACTAGTGAGGAGAAACAAGTATTCAGACACTTGTTTTTGTTATTTAATACACCTCTAGTGCATATATCCCCTTCAAATTTACATAGGTAATGTTGTTTTTTCATGTATGTACACATATGAACAAAGAAGTACATATTCATAAACATAAACATTTAATAAATGTTTAAAAAACTTTTCAGACAGCATAATTTACTTCTTCAAGATATGAGGGTCCCTCTGATAAACATGGACATTCAAAATCCTCTATAAATCTTCAAAGGGATTTAAGTCAGGAGATTAGCTAGACATTGCAAGCAGCTTCATCTCATTTTGTCTTGAGTTATTTTGGCTTGTTGAAACATCCACCTTTCGCCCTAATGTATTCCAGTACATTGCTCTATTCACATCTCCTTCAATGACGTGTAATGCCACAGTACCGTTTGCAGAGAATGAGCCCCATATCATGATGCTCCCACCTCCATACTTTACTGTGAGTATGGTTTTCTCAGGATTATACACACAACCCTTCTTTCTTCAAATATGACAAGCTGAGTTATTTCCACTTTTATTTCATCTGACTAGAGTACACTGTTCCAAATGAGCTCTGATTTGTCTAAATGCTTGTGTGGAAAGTTTGGATGCACATCTCTGTGCTTCTTTATTAGCAGAGGAATTTCGCGTATGGTGTATGAAAGGATAAGATCAAGGTGCTGGCAATTGCTGATTGTTCTCTATGTAAGTGTTGCCACTGCTGCTTTCAGGTCATTCTGCAACTCTTTTCAAGTGAAAGACACAATCTGTGTAAATTTGTAGTGGATATATGCACTGGAAGTAAACAAAACTTTTGCAGCAAACTGTTTTAAAAATGATTATTTTATGTGTGTTAACTTAAAAACAGCAAATCTTATAAACAGGAAAAAAAATTGTGGTATGTGCAAAAGCTTGCCAGTTGTAAGGCTTATTAACTTATTAGTTGACTTGTTAGGACTGTTTATGGCATGTCATTAATAGTCATTAGGAATCGTCAGGTGATTACAATTCCAGAGCACAATACATCTTTTGACTCCTTAAACCTTGTGCTATTAACCATGTTAGGACTTGAAAATGAAGCTAAATGGTGCCTAAAAGCAGAGCAAGGCTATAAAAAATGATCAAAGAGCTTCCAGAAGATCCACTGTCCGAAGTTTGATTAAGAAATGGCTGTTAAGGGCAACTGTGGAAGTCAAGGCCAGATGTGGAAGATGAAGAAAATTCTTAGATAGAACTGCATGTATACTGGCCAGAAACACAAATCAAAACCCCCATACAAGGATCTGCATGAAGGTTTAGCTGACACAGTGTATGTCTGGCTTTAAAGGACATTCAACTACAGATTAACCAGCCAAAAGACTAAAACAAGACACAAAACTTCACACAAGCATTGTGTCTTTACCCACCATCGACACCTCCTTGCACAAGCGTTGCATCCACAAGGTCAGTAGCATTGTGGACGACCCCTCCCACCCCTCTCATGGACTCTTCACCCTCCTGCCACCTGGCAGAAGGTACTGGAGCATCTGTTCCACCACCACCAGACTACAAGTTTCTTCCCTGAGGCAGTTAGACTACTAAACTCATTGATGCAGACTAATCACACACCTCTTAACCATCACTGCCCACCTGCCCTTTAAATTCTCTACATCTTAATCTTTGAATTCTGCTATGGGACCCCAATCTATTTATATTGTTTTGCTGTTCTAGGTGTTTGTCATGAATATTTGTGATTCTGTTCATTTTATGTCTTGTATGTTTATTGTTCTGTATATTTATGATTTGGTGTATGTATAATTTCTACATGTTTCTCACTGTTGTTATATATCCTGTGGAATATGCTGCTGTTGTGTGTTGAACCATGAAGCCTAAAGAATGTTGTTTTGTTTCAATGTATACAAGAAATAACAGTAAAGACCAACTAACCTGACACCTGACTTAACTTACTCAAATATAAAGTAACTGTGCTTTAATATTTGCAGAAAATCTTATTTTTCAAATAGTTTGCTGTGGAAAAAAATATGTAAATATGTAATTTGACTAGGAATACCCCTTGACCATCACACATACACAGGCACAGTAAGAGTCCTACCTCATGAGCAACGTAGTCAGCAGGAAGTTTCTCCAGCATCTCATTGGCTTGACGCAGAACTGTGGACTCCCGGGTCTCATCTCCCCCACTACTGCTGTCCTTAGGCTGGATGTTGATAATGGTGCTCAGAATCTCACTGGCCATGTTAGTCTGGCAGGAGATGTCAGCATTAGGATGAAGGCCAAAAACCTATTATATTACAGGAAAGAAGTAAAGAAAGAAAAGAAGGAAGACGGATTAAGCTTTAATGTGTGTTTAATGTTTTCTCATTTATTAACTTTATCATTTTATTACATCCTTTAATGTGCAGATTTAAAAAAGCATGCAGAAAAATCAAAACCGCACAGCTTTGCCCCAGTCTTA